GGTCGGACCGATAATTTGGTGGTATTACCGGATTAACAAATATAATAATAAATATAAATATACATACAAATATTTAATACCAAATGTACTAAAGTAAAAAATAAATGATCATAATCAACTTTTCAATGACATAAAAATAAAATATTTTAAATACCAATTTTTTTTTTTAATTAACCAGTATATTGGATCGGTATTTTGCGGTGTTTACAGTATGATCCCGGTACAAACCGATATAACCGTAAATCCGATATTTTGAGTATGTTTGTACCGTACCAATGGCCGGTATCCGGTATTACCGGCCGGTACGGAACAGTATTTAAAACATGGTTACCATGAATAAAAGGAACAAACTACTCATGACAAAAACTAATGACAGTAGTAGGAGGAGATCCCATCATATTATGCCCGAGCGTGCTAGTGCTCCAATGAATGAGTGTAAAAAAGTGTATTGGGGGTATTTTTAATGTTACATTCAGTGTTTTAAATACCGTACCGGTGACCATATCGGTCTAGTCACCGGTACGCGGTATTACTGGTCGGATCGGTAATATCGGCAGTATTACCAGATTAGCAAATATAATGCTATATATAAATTTACATAAAAATATATAATGCCAAATGCAAAAAAATAAAAATATAAATGATCATAATCATTAATTTCAACTTCTCAATAAGATGAAATAAAATATTTTAACTATCAATTTAAATTTTATTATTTCAAATTAAAAAAAATATATTTTTTTTATTTTTTTTATTGGATTTTGTGGTTTTTACGGTATGATCCCAATACAAATCGGTATAACCGTAAATCCGGTATTTTGAGTGTAATTGTACCGTACCAATGGCCGGTATCCAGTATTTCCGGTATTATCAGCCGGTATGATACGATATTTAAAACATTGGTTAAAATGACTAAAAATCATCTTTCACCATCAAGTGACTAATATTTCTATCTTTTGAGAAGATAAATGAGGAAATGCTTCAATCTCGTGACGAAACCATTCCGTCGGAATTTGTAACGTTAGATCATCATATAATTGGTGTGGATAGTTTATCTAACGATTATCAACCCTGATAGACTGTTTATGTAGCAGGATTGTAGAATTTCACGATAAATGGATAGAAACTAATATTAACACTAATTTAAAAAGAAATTGCCATGAATATTACCTATTTCTCCTCCTTTAAGTTCTAATTATTTTTGTTGCATCAAAATCTAAAGCTTTTATGTAGATCTCTGATTATCTTTTTATTTTTGTAAAAAAATGATAGATTTTATAGGTAAAACACATAATTACACCCGACTCACTAGTCGAAAAAGGGAGGCTTACCGAGTGGTAGCCTAGAGTACACAACTAAACACGCACAGACAACCAACGAAAAAACACACTCCCCACAAGAAAATACCCAATCCCAATGGGATAATACACAAGCCTCAATGAGTGAATACACAGTCCACAAAAGGAGAAGAAAAAGACAAACACACGCTAACAACACAAAACCTAAAAAACAAACTAAGCTAAACAATAAAAATAATCAAGGGCCTTCCCCACCAGATGCAACGAGTACTGAACCGGCACGGCTCAAGAAGATACCCTGGTAATGAACCACAAAAGGAAAGCTACGCCATCCACGACCTAGAGTGGAAAACTCCAACCAACGGCGGCTAAACCACACCAACCCGAGACCGAAGCCAACCTAAGTCCACCACCAACGAGCCCCCAGGAGAGACCCCAAACCCCACGACCTTCCACACCAAAGCCCCCACTCGTCCCAACTCCAAGAACTACCACTGGCCGGAGAGTTCGACGACCAAGCACCAAAGGCCACCGAAAAAAGGAAGTTCGAGGGTCAAGACTCACGCCAATGGCAGAACACGACCTCCAGCCCAACCCACCGCACCCTCGACAAAAACCAGCGACCACACAACCTCCTCGCTATGGAATCCCATGAAAGAAGCAACCCACGCGAAGAACAACCGTCGCTCGCCGGGGACCACACCGACCGGGAGAAGCAGGTGCCGACCCCCACGCCGCCACTGGGCTCGACACACGCTCTGGTGAGGAGGCACTGCAGATCGGAATTTAGGGCCTAGGGTTTATTTGAGAATTTGGGGCTACGAGTGGAGAGAGAAAAGACAACCGAGCTTATTCCCACCTTAGCTGCATACTTTGTAGATCTCTTGAATTAAACTAGTCGTTTTTTAGCTCAACTCGCGAAGGCTGGAGCAGCTCGACTCGTTTGATAAACTAACCCAGCCCGAGCTTGTTTAAGACACACCAAACTTTATAATTAAGGTCACTATGATTTTCTCAACTTTTTGTATAATTAAGCTTGTTAAGCCTCGAATTGACTTGTTCAAGAGCCGAGCTCGTTTGGAGCTCTACTCATAGGACTCCTCACAAGATCACAAAAAAAGACATTAAATAAATTAAAAAAATATATCTAGTAACACAACAAAAACATCAAAATCTTAAGTCGGCCAAATGTTTCTATTTTTTTTTCCACTGTCCCCACTGTCCTAAATTCCTTAGGGAGAAAAAAAAAAAAAAAAAAAA